GCCGCCATGCTCAGCTTCGAGGGGAATGGAGTTTTCCAGTTAGACGTGCAAGATTTTTCTTTTCCCCTTTCTGGTCCCGCGATAGAACCAGGGTTTTTTTTCGGCGGAAGCACGTGGTTTTTATGCACCCACTCACTAGAGAGGAAACTGCATCTTCCTCTACCCCATTAATTTGTGGCAGATGCTGGACGCAGAGAGCCCCGAGCCGCGGGTCCATGGACATTTTTTGGTGCCTGCCGCTCACCCTCCTCTTCCTCCATCGAGCCAGTAAGTATGAGGCACCCATTTTCCCTTGATGGTTGAAGGGAAGGAGCCCACGGGGGGCTTGGGGTGGGTTTTGGCAACGGGCTGGCACGTGTGGGTGCAAGGAGTGACTCCATGAGGGTGGAGATTGTCCCAAGAATATTTGCACGACCAGGATGAAAGATTCCCAGCATGACCTGGTGTCAGCTCCTCTCTCCCACGTGATCCTCCTCTACTAATGACTGAATTCATCAGGTCTCAGCCTCTGTCCAGCTGCTGCCAGATGTGCCCCAGCTGCACGTTCTGCCCTGTGACCAGGCTCTGCTCCCTGCTGAGTTTTCCATGGTGTTACTTCGGGGCTATTTGCAACGAGAAACACTTTCTGCTTCTTTCCAGTTGAAGGAAAGCGAGATGGTGGCTCTGTCCGGATGAACCCTCTTATCTCTCTTCCTTCTGCTACTTTATCTTCTCCACCAGTCCTTTCCTATTAGTTGGTGCTGACTTTTCTCCATGTCCCCAGAGGGGGACCAAAAACGTTCAGAAGAGAAGTGACAACCTGGGGTCTGGCTGCCCCTCTGAGCCAGGATCGGTTCCCTTTTCATTAACTGGGGAGACTGGGCAGCACCAATTTTTAAAGAGAAACGCAGCTGAAATAAGAGGGAAATGCCTCCTTCCCTCTCAGAGCGGGGTAAACGCAGCTGCACATTTTGAGAAGAGGCCACTGGTTTTCTCACCTCGTGTAGGTGAGCTCGTTCTTTCAGTTTGGCTGCAAAAGGGGGATGCATGACCTTTTGCAAACTTCTCCTTGCGATTTCACTTCACACCTCAGGGCTCTGCTTTCACACCCACTTTGCGGGGCTCGCTTCGGGAGGGGGATGTGAAAGCGCAGGTTCTCCTGAGCACCCTCAGCCTCAGGGGCTATAAGTTGATTTCAAATAAAAAGGAATCCCCTAATTCCTGCAACCAGCGTGTTGGTGATCCAGCCGTGCCTTCCCCCCCCCAGGGATGCTCGGGAGGGTTGGGATGAGCCGGCAAAGCGCACTCACAGCCCAGAAACCAAATCATCACCAGCAGCGTGGCCGGCGAGGTGGAGAGGAGGGGATTCTGCCCCTCAGGTCTGCTCTGGGGAGACCCTTCTGGAGCTCTGCATCCAGCTCTGGGCTCCTTGGGACCAAAAAAGACTTTTGGACCTTGTTGGAGCGGGGCTAGAGGAGACTGTGAAGATGCTCAGCGGGTGCAGCACCTCCTCGAGGAGGACAGGCTTGAGGGGTTGCTCAGCCTGGAGAAGAGAAGGCTCTGGGGAGATGAGGCAGCCCCCAAGCTCTCTGCGTGTCCTGTCGCTGGGCACGTGGCCGTCAGCCTGGCTTCTCTCCCCAGAGTGAACCGATGACATGAAAAAGGAGACCAAGGCTGTGGGCGAGTCCGTCACTTTCCACCTCCAGAACCCAGAGAGACAAGACATAGTCTGGAACTTCCGTGGTGAGATCATAGTGTTGGTGAGACCCGGCCACCCTCCCAGCATCACGTTTTATGACAAGAGTTACGAGCAGCGCTTGACCGTCTCCGAGAAGGGTGACGCACTCACCATCTCCCAGTTGACAACCAACGATGCCGGGACCTACACTGCCACCATCCCAGGCGACAAAACCACCTTCACCCTACGTGTGTACAGTAAGAGCCCTTGAGCACTGCTGTTTATGTCTTTATTTTTATGCTCTGTGCTGAACGGGGAGGCTTCCCTGACAGCCCCCCACATCCCGCAGGGGAGCTGACGGCGCCGACAGTGACCTGCACGGCCATCAACTGCTCGGCCGACAGCTGCAACTACACCCTGCGCTGCACCGCGCTGGGCTCCGGCTTGGGTGATGTTTCCTATGTTTGGTTCATGGGAGGCTTGCTGTGGGTCGAGGGACCCACCGTGCAGGTGGAGGAGATGTCCCCGG